GGCGTGCTGCGTGGGCGTGCGTGCGTGTGCGTGTGTATGGCTGTGGTTATGTGTGTGTGTGTGTGTGTGGGCTGTGTGCTGTGTGTGTGCTGTGTGTGGTGTGGATGTGTGTGTGTGGTGTGTGTGTTGCGTGTGTGTGTGGCTGTGTGTATGTGCTGCAATGTGAATGATGTGTATGTGTGTGTGTTGTGTGTGTGTGTGGGGTGTGTCGTGTGTCTGTGATTGTGTGTTGTGTCGCGCGCCGCGTGTGTGTTGGCGTGCGCGGCTGCGTGCGCTGTGTGCCTGTGTATGGTGTGTGGGTGTTATGTTGTGGTAGTGTGCGGTGTGTGCGCGTGCGTTGCGTGTGTGGCGAGCCTCGTGTGCATGTCCGTGTGCGCCCGCGATGGTGTGTGCGTGCGTGCGTGCGTGCGTGCTTCGCGTGCGTGTGTGTATGTGTGTGTATAATATATATATATTATTATATAATATATATATATATATTATATGTGTGTGTGTGCTGGGTTGTGTGTGCTTGTGCTGTGGTGTGTGTGTTGGTGTGTGTGCTGTCGTGTGTGTGTGTGGTGTGTGGTGTGTGCGTGTATGTGTGGCAATGCTGCATGGTGTGTGTGTGTGTGCGTCGTGTGCGGCGTGCGTGTGTGTGTGTGTGTCGTGTGTTAGCGTGCGTGGCGTGCGTGGCGTGCGTGCGGGCGTCGGGTGTGTATGCTGTGTGTATATGTGTGTGCGTGTGTTGTGTGTTGTGTGTGTTGTGTGTGTGTGTGTGTGTGTGTGTCGTGTGTGTGGTGTGTGTGTGTGCTGGCGTGTAATGTGTCGCAATGTGCATGATGTGTGGTGTGTGTGTGTGTGTGCGTACATGTACTGTAGTGCGCGCGTGTGATGTGCTTGCGTTGCCGTGCGTGCGCGTGCGCGCAGTGTTGCCGTGTATGTCTGTGTGAGGCGTGTGTGTGCTGCGTGTGGTGCGTGCGTGGTGCGTGACGCGCTGTGTGATATGTGTTGTAATGTGTATGCTGTGCAATGTGTATGTGCTGTGTGTGTGTGCTGTGGTGTGTGTGTGTGTGTGTGTGTGCGCGCGCGTGGCGTGTATGCTGTGTGTGTATGCGTGCTGTGTGTTGGTGGTGCGTGCGTGCGTGCGTGCCGTTGCGTGCGTGCGTGGCGTGAGATGTCGTGTGGCGTGGCGTGCGTCAGCCGTGCGTGCGCTGCGTGCGTGCGTGAGTGTGTGTCGTGCGTGCGTGCGTGCATCGTGCGTGCGTGCGTGCGTGGTGGCGTGCGTGAGTGTGTGTGCGTGCGTGGGTAACAAGAGCACGCGAAATCAATATGAATGCACACACTTTCAAATAAACGCGGCTAGGATTCGCGTCGTAAATTAATTAGACAGCGCATCTGACCGAAATGAGATAACCAATAATCCTCAGCATCGCGGGAACTGTGTAAATAGCAGATCGCGGAAGGTGAGGCGAGATGTCACGTCTGCTTATTTCCGCAGAAATAACACTACGCGATGCTGCTATTGCTTTGCGGCGTTGTATCGCACAGCTTGCTTATACTTTGGCGTTTTTTTTAATTATTTGTTATAGTGTATGTTGTTTGATTATTTGTTGTCAGTTGTATTGTCGTATGATTGTATTTTTTTAGCGAGCGTGCGTACGTGCGTGCGTGCGAGCGAGCGAATTATTATATATATATTATATATATATATTATATATATATCAAATATATATATATCTATATATTATAGTATATAATATATATATATCATATATATATATATACATACAAGAAAACATGAAAGCAATAGTAATCATTCGAGGTTTGACATACATTTAATCTTATTGATGCTCTGCATAGCCATCCCTGCATCCTCATGTAACCGCATAACTACAGTTTCTATTTATATGTAGGGGCCTACATACACCATGCACCGCACAAACATATGCATAAATCTGTAGAATTAAGAACAATGAGATTATGAGATTGATTGACGACTTAATACCATCAAGTAGAAGATCCCACAGGCCTCACTTTACAGGCCTCACTCAACAATTATAATAAAATAAAGTAGGGTTTATACTAGCCCGACCAGGCTGTGCGACGGATTGTCTATACTAACCCTAGCAATACCGTTTCTTGGAGCTAGGTTTATACATAAATTAGTAGCAATTAATAGTAATTTTTTAAGATATGTATACACTTATAAAATTATATCTCATAAAAATGGGGGCAGGGGAAGAACAGCAATCGGCGCTGGCTTAGTTTCGAAGTCAGACCCATTTTAGGCTCAAATATATCCTATTGCACTTATCGAACACAAGGAAATATACGGACGCTTTTACCTTTGCGATGTATTACTTTCTCCTACACGAGTTGTGCGTTCGCCTAGCAAGTTACTGCAGAATCTCCGATGTAATCATAGAATATCTCCTTTCTAATCCTTTCTCTTTGCGCACAGGCTCACACTTAGATGCGGATTTTATATCGAACGGTCATACATACTCCAACGGCTATTCACTTAACTTCGCCTTTCGTACTTCTTGACGCGCGTGTTTATGCTCTCGCTAATCGAATCCCAACTGTAATAATACCCGACGAAAGTCATCCAGGCGGCCACCCGGCGGCAATCAGAGGTAGTAGCCTCGGTGTGACATTCCCGCTCCAGCTGCGCGTTGCCAGCAAGCATTGACGCTTTTGGAGCGAATGCGCTTCGATCGGCAGGTGCTCTGGCCGATCGTCTGCTACAATCAGCACGCTGTCTATGGAGCCGCCGTCACTGCACAGGTTTCTGACAGAACTCCCTCACCGATGAGATTCGCCGACCAGCAACACTATAATCCGCCAATCAAATCATCGCGGGCGCCTGCGATCACGTGCCTGGCGACTGCCAATCACCTGCGGGCGAGGCCCCGCAACCTGTACACCGTACACCGCGCGAATCATGGAGGGCTTCCCTTTGCGAAGCGCAAGATTATATGAATGCGATTTGCGTAACAAACCGTCAAATTTCGAAACTTTTGATACCATCGAATACTTGGCTAAATGTTCTGTTATATATTCACCAGAGGATTATGGCGTACATAAATGCCGCGGCAACAAACTCAGTGATTCGGCGAAACCTTAGTCTGAACTTTGAATATAATAGATGAGAACCGCGACCCCGGGTGAAACTGCTGCTAACGATTGCAAACGCCATCTATCGAGCGCGACGGCACATAACCGACGCGTCACTCGCTTCTTGCCAGAGGTCCAGAATTACTCGCGCGTAAGTCTCGTATAAACATCACGACGGCGTTACAGATATTTTTTTCAGGAAAGGGTAATGCTTGTTATAAGACTGTGTTGTACTTTCCTGATGTTTTCACGAACATATTCTATAGGCTATGTTCACGATGTTATATTATCGTCCGTCAGATTTTTTCTTCGTGAAAAGACTGTATTTAGTACATGTACTTGTATTTAGTAATAGATTCAATAAATATTTTTATAGGATTTATTATGTTCTCATGTGCAAATTCAGTCTATCTGTGCACGCGTTGGATCTCTTTCCTTGCAAAAAACTGACTCTATAGGATATGTAGGCTGTGTGAGAGAGGTTTTCAACCTGGTTTTATTCATACAAACGCCCATAGACATCCTACCCTATACCTATTGTATTGCTCACAGATGCTAATTAGTTAGCAATAGGCATTCTATCGGGTAACTGCCTGTCTATTACGTTGAACGCGATCACCTTGACTGTGAATCTCTCGCGGATCGCCTGACTACGTAAAATGACGGGTCCGTCTCCATTATTGGGGCTCTGGCAGTGGCCACCATTGGTATCATTCGGCTTGATATAATACCAGATTGGGCAATTATGTGCCAGATGTACCCTGCTCAGTATAGGAAGAAGAAGACTAAGAATGTGAAAAATAAGAAGAAGAAGAGGAAGAAGAAGAAGAAGAAGAAGAACACGAGCAACAACAATAACAACATCATCATCATCATGATCATGATCATCATCATCATCATCATCAACAACAACAACAACAACAACAGCAACGACAACAAAATCAGCAACAACAACAAAATCAACAACAATAACAACAACAACAACAACAAAAACAAAAACAGCAACAACAACAACAAAACAGCACCACCCTGGGTATAGCGTTGCGCCGATGGTCGTTCAGGATGTGATTCAGGATTCGTGTTTTATTTTAAATTCATATAATACAGCTCATCCTCAACATACGGGCGTTTACAACTGATGGAGGGTTTGAAGGATTAACGAAATTATTCAGCATTGTTTTAACTAAATAAATTCATAGTGGTTAATATATTTTAAGAGCATTAGAATACGTTAATTGAGTATAACCCAAAAATACCAATTGTAAACACCGATTCCGATGTATGGATGCCTAATGGCATATCATGCTAGAAATTTTAAATTGTTAATGGGTATATATGCACTACCTCGTCCAAACCATTTTGGTGATAAAGATATTTAGAAAGGGGTTATAGCTTTTCACAAAAATGAATTTATAGTATACTTGCGTATGCAATGAAATTGTTTATTTCGCAATATGGAATCAAAAGCAGGCAACCTGCTACTGTGCTCTTTAATTATAGCATGTATTTGCGCATGGGATAAAATAATTTGTTATGTAACGTAAAGTGTCTAGTCTTTAATTGCAATTTCAAATTAATTATTATGAGTAATTGGTAAATGATGAGAAATTGACTGACTCGAATGCGGAGGAACGTTCCGGCAACGTTGCAAATGAAATGAGAAGTTGTTGAATGAGTTTGTTATTACATCAACGAACATCAAAAAATTATTTCAAGTCACAATAATAAATTTTTGTCGCAAATAATTGAAAATATAATGTTTGTGAGTTTATGAATTCGCAAAATTGCGTAAAAAATGACAGTAAAAAATGACAGAATTAAATAGGTTGGTTATAGATGGCGCTGTAGGCTTAAATCAAGCCGAAATGTAGGCCTAATGCGCATCGTACACATTCAGGGAGGAGGTTCCGGCGTGTTTACATGTGTAACGCGTTACATTAGAAGTATTTGGTACTGTTTGTAGTGTGGGCGGAGGTCTTCTCAAGCGTAACTCGTTTATTAATGTAAGTATCGTAATTACTATTTGGTATCAGTTGTGAATCGACCGTGGCCATTAAAAATACATTAATACAAGTGCCAGTGGGCGCGCAGAATTTCGAATACCGGTACCGGTTGGATATTCTTCAATCTTCATACGTAGGCCTACCGGTAACATAGTTTCAAATTAGTTGCATTCTGTGGCAGTGTGCTTATCAACCGCATGTGTTGAGAGCGAGCTCTAAGTCTAACGTGCCCGATGCCTTCGCACGAATTTTGTAGCGCATTCAGCCATTCTTGGAATATATCGAAATTGCAAATAGATAACTGGCAGCACATTATTTGAAACGCTGCGGCTATATGCCCGGCAGCCGGGCACGGTCTTCGATTTCCTAAATGACTGGCAGTTTCTAACCCTAACCCTAACCCTAACTCTGACCCTAGCCCTAATCCTAACCCTAACCCTAATCCTGACCCTAACCCTAATCCTAACCCTAACCCTAACCCTTGTTTATTTGAGATAACGCTAAAAATTAAAAACTGCCGGGCATTTAGGAAATCGAAGACCGTGCCCGGCAGCCGTCAGATATATGCAGGCTGCCGGGCATATAGCCACTCTGTATTTCAAAGGTAGATTTGAAAATTAATTTGCGAGGTCAAACAAAAACTTAACTCAACAACCATCTCATTGCGGCTGCTAGCTCTAGTACTATAGCCCGCGTTCATTAACTGCCGCAGGCCATAGTAGTAGTACTGCTGGGGGGGTTGTTGTCGTATCAGGTACTACAGATATGTACCCGAGGTACATATATGTATACACAAAGTGTACCAGACTTGACTTACAGAAGTGTACCCTAACCCTAGCCCTAGCCCTAACCCTAAACATACCTCATATAAAAATATAAACATAATACTTAACAACCTAAAACTATCACGGGTGCATATCTGTAGTACCTGATACGACAACGACCCCATCTGACATAGTTAGTACTAGAGCTATGCGTCTGCCTGATGGCTGTAAAGCTTAGGATATAGAGCAAATTAGGTAGGGTTTGGCAATTATATAGCATATTATATAGACACAAACAGTCTGTGGTGTCACACTCGTCTGGTTCGTTTTACAAGATTTAATTGACAATATCTTTAATGCAAAATTGGTATTTTCTTACCACCCTGCCGATAAAACGTCTATATTAGAGTAAAGTTTTACAAAACATGTCGGAAGGCAGCATAACCTATTTATTTCAAACGCCATCGCTACAAAGCATGTATAGCGCCATCTACGGTCACAAGTTGTGATTCATTTTGATTTTGGTTTATAAATTATTATTGCGATATACAGATGGCAATCGTTTCTATAATGTACGTCGATGGTTGCTCAATTAAAACTGACTTCTTCTTACTCACTCATTTGTGTCCTTTTTTGTGGTGAGCTACAGTGTCATTGACACTTTCAGTATTGATCTTTCCCATCCCTATCACTGTACATTATATAAATCTGTAGGCAATACATTATGATTTATATCAAGATTATATGTACCAAGCAAAACAAACATTCAACAGAAAAGGTATCTCCACACAAGCACACCCGAGCATGTAGACACCATATGCATGCTGAATTTGTAAAAAAAAAACCTCAACAAAAAATTTAAGCCTATACCTACCTACCCAAACTTTGCAGCCTGGGTCGGGTGAGGGCAAACAACGATTTTTTTAATTGTGGCCTGGGGGAAGGAAGTAAAGGAAAGCAGTGTGTGTGAGAGCAGGGGAGAAGGACAGAGTGAGGTGTAGGGGTTAGAAGATAAGCCGGGATACATTGTAACACAGGAGGAGAGGAAAGACAAGTGGCAGCAGCAGTAGTAGCAGCAGCAGCAGCAGCAGTAGTAGCATCACCAGCAGCAGCAGTAGTAGCAGCAGCAGCAGCAGCAGTATCAGCAGTACTTAGTAGTACTAGTAGCAGCAGTATCAGTAGCAGCAGCACCAGCCTCAGTAGCAGCAGCAGCAGCAGCAGCAGTATCAGCAGTACTTAGTAGTACTAGTAGCAGCAGTATCAGTAGCAGCAGCAGCAGCCTCAGTAGCAGCAGCAGCAGCAGCAGCAGTACCAGCAGTACTTAGTAGTACTAGTAGCAGCAGTATCAGTAGCAGCAGCACCAGCCTCAGCAGCAGCAGCAGCAGCAGCAGCAGTACCAGTCTCAGCATCATCATCATCATCATCAGCAGCAGCAGCAGCAGCAGCAGCAGCAGCAGCAGCAGTACCAGCCTTTGCAGCAGCAGCAGCAGCAGCAGCAGCAGCAGCAGCAGCAG